AATAGGTTCAAGGGGCTGAATGACCTACACCTGTTCCTATACAAGTCCAAAATGAAGTTTGACCTTTGTTTACTTGGCATTTGAAAGGGCAGATTTGGTGCCCCTTAAAGCCTGGCACCCTACCCCGACAGCCCAGTTCACCTATACGATTGGACCTGCAATGGATATTGGCTAAGTGCTTATGCAAAATGAGGGGCGTAGTGAACAAAGACAATGGTTGTTAAATCAAACATCATCAACATTCAAATCAGAAACAAGTAGGCTATCAGGTTTGCTCATAGATTCTGGCCCAACAATTCAAAGATCTCGACCACGGGACAGTAAAATCCAGATACAACCCCAATGTTGGAAGCTGCAGGTATCGTGCTTTACAAGAGTAGCTAGGGATCTTCAGACTATCTTTCCTCCTCTTCACAAGTCAACTGCAAAACTGTACTGCTCACAGCTAATTGCCGAAAACGTGGGTTTAAGTTATCAAGGCCATCACCACTCTCTCCCTCTTTACCCCTGCCATCAGGTGTAAGTGTCAGGCTGTACTTTGAACTGATACTGTAACAAATATTAATTTCAAAATTTTTATGCTATCTCAGGTTTTAAATGACAGTCACTGCTCAGCTTTTATTTCTTCTTTTCAGCCATCCTAAGTGTGAAATTTGATGGCAGCTTTATAATCACTTGCCATTATGATGTTTGGACAGTTTCAAAACAAAAATCTTCCGAACAGATGGTTATAATTAAGCTTTGGCAAAGGGGCAAATGAGGTTAACTTTCTACCTTTTCAGTTCGAAAAAGGTGTGCAGAATATAAACAAATTCACTCAAAGTTGATCTAAGGTGTCATTCAAAGTAGTCTGGACTGTTATAAATGTACAATTGTACTTTGAGGCTTAGGACAAAGTTTTCACTGCAATATGCTACGCAAGATAAACTCTAGAGAGCAGTCTGGGCACCCATTCCTGCACACTGACATGAAAGGTTTTCCTACCAGATAGAAGCTTGGAGCCAGAGCCTGTAATCAGAAACCTTGTAGCACACTACTTAAAATCAAGAAATTCGTCAACTACAAGCATGACTTCGGTGGGCATGAAGCATTTAAAGAAAATCTTTAAAGGAGACAGAATAGGGTATATTAGCTAGTTTACACATTAGATATGGGTGGTCTAGTGGTGCAGGCATAGTAACCCCTGTAGGTCAGAAGTCCAAAATCAAGGAAACATTAAAGGTTACTGAACAAATACTTTTGCTCAAGGCCTATTGAACTCCATTAAGAAAGATTCTTGCTATGTGAAGACCCAGGCGTATGTCAGAGCATAATGTAGGAGCAAATTATTGTGGATGCTGAAATCTGTACTGAAAACAACAAATGCTGGAGATCACAGCAGGTCAAGCAGCATCCATGGAGAGAGAGCAAGCTAACGTTGAGTCTAGAGGACTCTAGATGAGCTCAGAAGAAGAGTCATCTAGATTCAACATTAGCTTGCTCTCTCTCTCACCATGGATGCTGTCTGACATGCTATGATCTCCAGCATTTGTTGTTTTCAGTGTTCAGACATGCTCTGAAACAGACTGATTTAGAATTGATTTTTACGTTAAACTTTTGGGAGGGACTCGGAAAAGACAACATGATGTTTCTTTGCATTCTGTCCATAGGGACATTTCACATTACAACTGAATTCAGCAGGCCATGGCACTTGCAAGACTTGGCCCAATGATGAACAAGCGTTGCTAGGATCTGCACGAGTCTGTGGTGCCTATCACAGATGTCAGGAAATGAAAAAGCATCTTTCTACCAGTTTAGATGCAGAGACTACATCATCCTTTTAAATACAGCAGGCAACACCAAAGTACCTTGCGTAGCAAGGACCAGTGGGAAATATATCTTCAAATATGGAGGGCTTGAACAAAAGTGTTTGTTTGGCAACCTTTAATTTCTCTTTGAAAAAGAAGCAAAGATTGACCTGATTATATTTCCAATAACTGGTCCCCATCCAATGCAGAATTATTTTGAAACAGAAAATTATCTTGAAAGGGTCAGGTTGGAGGAGGCCCAAATGGAGCATCGACAATGACAAACCACTTAAGCAGAACAACTTGTATCTGTAGGCAACTACATTGTAAATGGATGAGAGATGAAAACCAGGGAAAAAGGAGATAAAATAATGAACAAAATCTTTTTTTTTTAAATCTATTAAGATTATGTAAAACATATAAGAATCACAAAGAAAGAAAGATGGTTTGGTTATTGGAAGTTAGTCATCTCTGCAGGAGGTTCATGGGGTAGAGTCCTAGGCTTAATCATCCTCAGCTTTTTCATCAAAACCTTCCCTCCGTCACAAGGACAGAAGTGTGGACGTTCACTAGTGACTGCACAATGTTCAACACCATTCAGAACCTCTTAGGTACTGAAGCAATCCACGTTCAAATGCAACAAGAATTGGACAATACTCAGGTTTGGGCTGACAAGTGGCAAGTAACATTCGCACCACACAAACGCCAAGCAATACAGCCATCTCCAATAAGAAATTTCTAACAACCGCCCCCTGATATTCAATGGTATTATCATCACCGAATTCACCACTGTCAACATCTGTGGGGTTACCATTGACCAGAAACTCAACAGGACCCACCACATAAACAATGGTACACAGAACCAGATCAAAGGTTAGGAACACTGCATGTCATGACTCCCCAAAGCCTGTCCACCATCTACAAGGCACAAGTCATGAGTGTGAAAAAATACTTCCCACTTGCCAGGATGGACGCAGTTCCAACAAGACTCAAGAAGCTTGACACCATCTAGGACAAAGCAGTCTGCTTGATTGGCACCATATCCAAAACATCCACTCCCACCACTGCCAGCACTCAATAGCAGCAGTGTGCACTGCAGAAATTCACTGAAGATCCTTAGAGACAACACCTTCCAAACCCATGACCATTTCTATCTAGAAGGACAAGGGCAGCAGATACTTGAGTACACCACCACCTGCAAGTTGCCCAAGCTACTCATCATCCTGACTTGGAAATATATTGCCGTTCTTTTACTGTCAGAGTCAAATCCTGGAATTCTCTCCCCAAGGACATTGTGGGTCAAAATACAACATGTGGACTGCAGTAGTTCAAAAGGAAGCTCACCACCACCTGCTCATAGACAAGTAGGAAGAGGCAATAAATACTGGCCAACCAGCAACACACATTCCGCGCGTGAATTTAAAAAAGAGAGCTGTTCTATACTAAAAATGATAGCAGACTCATCCCGTTTGACTTCAGCAAAGTCAGCCACTAAGAATATTATCCAATCACATTGCAGTGACAAAATTCTTCCTCTTTCTGGAGCCAACAAAAATACAGGCTCAAACTTAAAGGGACTTTCATGAAAGACTCATTGTTTGAAGCATGCTCCATCTACTCTCACTCAAAGTAATCAAAATACAATCAAAAAGGACACCAAGAATCTTAAAACAGATAAACAACCCCAACAAAATGTCTAATTTGAACTAACCATCCATCTGAGCCTCTCAACAGTCATGCCAAGATCAAACATTTATCAAAGTGAAGTCTTTTTCCCAAGTAAAGGGTCAAAATACTTTTCAAAAACACAAAGCCACAAACTACAAACAATTGACGAAGTAGAATCAATTCAATTTTGATATTCTGAACATTATGCAAAGTCAATCGTATTCCCGTCTTCAATTAATATTACCGACAAACTTCCTGCAAAGTCCCTTTTTCATTCCTCCAACTGACCAGCATCTGAATTTATAAACTGGCTTTCTACTGACTTCACTAGCAACTGATTAACTTGAAACCCACTCCACATTCCCCAGAAATGCAATGTCTAGAATTTTGCACTGGCATTCTAACCTAAAGCCTTCCCTAAAAATCAATCGGCCTTGTGTCCCCTTTCCTCAAGCTGGCACTTTCTGGGGCGAGAAAACAAGGACTGGTGTGTATAACAGAACAGCATGCACACACACACATACTTCTGTTCCAGGCTCAATCTCAGCATCTCACAGACCCTCCCAGCATCCTCAAGGCAATTCAAGCACTCTCCTCATCCTTTTGCCTTTCACTCTTGTCTGACTACTGCTCACATCTTTAGTGCCTCCTTCTTTTCATCTTGCATTGAATCTCTGATAAAATGACAGGTTAACACTAATTGAAGCCAGAAAGTGAGCCTCTAATAAAGAGAAATGACCAGGACAGCAGGTAGCATCACAGCCACTTGATTTATTCTATACACTGATCCCATTTTGATGGGTTGTTTTATTTAAACAAGAGTAGGTCTTTTGTTCACTTAGCTTCATTGCTGGGTTAGGAGCTTTCAGCAGTTTTGTACTGCCTAAGCTTTGGAACACAGGAGGAGAAGGAAGCCATTCAGCCCACAATTCTGCCTCATTCAATTAAATGGCACCTTCCCACACTATCCTCATATCCATTGATATCTTTAATATCTAGAAATCCATCAGTCTGTCTTGAGCATACTCAATGACTGAGATTCCTGGAGTCTCTGTGGTCAAGAATTCTAAAGATTCACTACGTTCCCAGGGAAGAAATTCCTCTTCATTTCAGTCTTCAATGACTTTTCCCCAATTCCTGAAATTGTGACCCCCCCGCCCCAGCTCTAGAACACCCAGTCAGGAGGACAGGAACACATTTCTGAAGAAAAACTAATTCTTTCTCTGGTATCTGTGTTCTTACATTGCCTTATAAAGTCAGAAAGTGACCCAAACTCTCCCAACACAGTAGGTGCAACGTTTAATTCTCATAGGGCATGGCCAGCAAACTGCTTATGGCTTATATCTGGTTAAAGAAAAACAAGTCCACTCAGATATTCACTGTCCATCTTTTGATTTTCAATTCATAACAAACATGGTGCTGTTCTGAAACATTAGCTACTTCAAAACAAGTTTTATTTCAAGCTACTTGAACACAGCTGGTACCGCGATCTGTACACAAATGGTTCAAGAATCTCAGATAGTGATATCAAGTTATCTTTGCGTACTTCATTCCTTTGATCTTAAGTAAACTTCCCTACTCATAATGATTATCCTGGAGTCTTCAGAAATTGAAGATTAATGTCCAGGAAACTGCTGGGAGTGACCTGGGGAAAATAAAGCATTGAGGCAATCTTTTTTTCAAAAAAAAAAAACAACATTTTCTTTCAACACTTTTGTTTACTACATACAAAAATGTCATAGTGGCTGGGCTGAAGGGTTAAGTGACTCAAAAATCATTCAAATCGAGACCAGGCTTCAGGCAGAGTGAGGGAATCTGGGCACCACCCCTTTAGGAAGGATGTTTTGGTCTGAGAGAGAATTCAACTCAGGTTTACAAAGACCATACCTGTACTTCAGGGGTTAAGTTTGAGGAGCAATTAGACAAGTTAGGCCTTTATCCTTTAGAATTTAGAAGGTTAAAGGGAGTTCTAATAGAGGTCTTCAAGATATTAACAGGGAAAGACAGGGTAGATAAACAGCAACCAATGATAATAGTTTAAGATTCTAGAACCAGTGGGCATAGTCTAAGAATTAGGCCTAGGCTATTCAGGAGACATGTTGGAAAGCACTTATCCACGCAGAGAGTAGCGTAGGTTTGGAACACTTCTTCAAACTGCAGTCGAAGCGAATTCAATTTATAAATTTACATCCGAGATAGACAAATTGTTATTAAGGAAGAATACCCAATGCAGATATGTGGGGTTAGGCCACAGATCAGCCATGACCTCAATGAATGGCTGAACAGGCTCGAGGGGTTGAAAGGCCTCCTCCTGTTCCTATGTACAAAAATCACTTTACCCATCACTGTGTAATAACTTGTATTAATGTCTCTACAATTTGTATTAACATACCTAACATGTATTTTGAAAGCCCTAGGGTTTTTCTTACATCAAAACATAGTCAATTTCAAATGATGATCAAATTCAACTAATTGACCGGTCAATATTACAAACTAACGTGAAGATTAGCAGAATCAGACTTACTTCCTTCCGGAACAACCAGAAGGTTCAAACCATCCAGACTGGCAACCACGGCTTCACTATACAGATTCTTCCAAGGGATCTTCAAAGTGAGCTTGTCTATAAATGAAAAGGACAGTTACACAACCCAGCACAAAATATGACACACTAATAACACTGGCTCATTTGTACACTTTTTAAAAAACACCATGAGACTTTAGAGAGGCTAAATCAAAGGCAATTAATTCTCTCCTATTTGTCTAAATCAAACGGAGGAAACCATGAGAAAAAAAAAACCAAAATATTAACATGATGACCTGGAAAAACTTCATGCTTTACTGTCAAAATCCACAAACTTGAGCATGTTTTTTCAAGTGATGGAACTACAGAATTCAGCTATGTCTGAGCACCTCACTCAAAAGGCAGACCATATACTATTCATTGACCCTGCAACATAATCTAAGCAATACTTTTTAAACATCTATCAGTGGAGATGAAGTGGGAGGAGTTGAAAAGAGAAATAGGTTAATATTTAAATTCACTTGATTTTCCAAGTCAAGTAAAATCCAAATAAAGTAAAATCAGCTGGTGTCATTCACCCTTTTATTTACTATTTCTTTGATATCACAAACTGACATTGTTTGCCTTTCAAAAAAAATACACCCCTTCAAATCAGGAACTGGTTCTGCTTTTCCACCTATAAATACCTTCTCTTGAAAGTGAATCTCCAAGTTCAGAATGAATTGGAGAAGCAGTTTTTAAAACATGTTTGGTTGGTCAACTCCTTCACAAATGGCTTTGACGTCACAGATCCCTCTTTACATTCCAATACAATAAACTCTTTGCACATTTATTAACTGAATGCAAACTTGCAAAGTCCTCTAAAAACATGCATGAGGCTTTATCAGGCATGTCCATATAGTTAATGTTGATGTCGATGTTAGTGATGACGTGAAAATGTTAACCTTTTCATCAATTAAAAGGTATTCATTCATAATAACATGCCTGTTCAATAAGTCATGGCAACAAGTTCTTGCTCTTCCAGGAATGGGATTAGATCTGTGCCCTTATGTCCGGAACAGTGACACCGTTTCACCACGTGGTCTACTCACCTCAAAACCGTTGTGTTTTGGGATACTACCCACTTCCTCTGCAGTTTAACTGACTGTCTGAATTGGAATACCATATCACATGTTTCCCAAAAAGGAATGCAAATTACCTCTATCAAAAGCAATTTTAGCTGCTCATTGCCACAAGGCTACACTTTTGACCTCTTGTAGGTGATAGTTACACCTCTCCCCAAATGAATGAATTAAAATTTCAAAAGGTTTTTCAAAGTCCAAGTTCTATTTCCACGAGCTTGAACTGGTATGAAGTGGCATGCAGTAGCAACATTCTAGAGCACACTAAAAAGTCTAGTTCTGCAAAATTCCAGCAAGGAAATTAGATCAGCAAAATGTCACAAATTTCTCATACCTAAAGTTAGATTAAATGTAGCTTGGTAGCATACAGCTCAACACTTGCTGGACTCAATTGGGGAAAGGGGGGTGTGGAGATCAGTGTAGCAGTCTCAAAGACAGTAACTGGGCTGATGTGATGGGGGACCATGTTGGCACTATCAATGCAGGTCAACATCCTTCAGGAGCTGAAGAACACTCAGCACCAATATCGGAGAGTGGACTGGAATTTAACTGCACACCGCACAGGTAACTTTTTGTTACTTTTGTCTAGATACAAACACTGGTAACACCCCCTTTATCATCTAAATCTATCTGCCCTGATAAAATGCTGAAGCTGGTACGTTTCTTGAACTGCCTGAAGTTCTTGTGGTGATAGAATTCCTGCGATATTGTTCGCCGGATTGTTCCCCGATGATTATCCAGAGGAAGCAAAGAAACCGGAACAGATTTCCTGTTAGGACAGTGTATAAACCAGAGAGAAGCTTGGAAGCGAGGTTGTTCCCCCGACAGTGCCTTCAGTCCTTCGCAGGTTGTGACATGGATGAAGTGCTGTTGATGTGGCTGTGAGCTGCCGATGATGTAGGGATTGCAGACAGACTTTAGTGACACCATTATACACCCCACCAGAGGTGGAAGGCAAACCAAAATGGGAAGGGAAGAAAAGGTAACTCTAAAATCCCAAACTGTCCAACTGAGGTCGGCCTTAAATTGCAGTTTCTTTCCTTAAGAAAATATTGAAAAGCATGCGGAGAGTAAAAAAAAAAAAATCCATATTCAGATCAAAGTCTCACTATTTGGCTGAGAACAATTGATGGCATGGCAACGAGGGAAAAGTAAGAGAGGAGCAAGGAACAATTCAAACAATCTGCTCTCAAAAGGACTGGAGTAGTGTACATCTTAGACTTGTCACTGTATATGGCAATTCATAGTGATTAAATTTACAAATTACCATTGTATTAATTTTCTTCTTAAGCTGACCTATAACTACATAAATATATTACATCTATCAAAAAGAATTCATATCTTTAGTACATACAACAGCATTTCCAGCAATGAATTACTAACTGTCATCATTTGGTATGGAACAAATTTACTGTTCAGTAGTATTTTACAAATAAGAAAGGCTAATAAGCAATCTTCTACCTTTATGATGATCAAGCAATGAATGTTTACTAAACACAAGGTTACATTTCCCTCTCTCGTATTAGAAAGGAGGGAATTTTTGATAGCTATCTAATTTTCCTTTGACAATGCCAAGTTTTTTCTCTAACTGATGGATTACCATTTCAGGCTGACACTGAGCTATAAACTAATTATTTCACAAGAGTTATGGCAAATGATGCTGGTTCCATAGTATGTATGTAGAACCTTTCCTATTTTTCTTAGAGAAAACATCAACATCCTTATTCCCATGAAGTACTAATCAAAAGGCTCCAGACAGTACTACTCAATTTTGTTAATTGCAAATGAGTAGTATTTTATTGATAAAATTGCAAACTACACAGATATTAACACTGTATAGTGTTTCTAGCTGCCAACAGCAAATAATACCTAAACTGTGTGCAAGTTCTTTAAATAGTAACAGTTCATTTATTCACACTTTCCTAAGGTAAGATCATTATTAACTGAAGCTTTGACAAAGTTGCAAACTCCGTGGTTACCTAGCCAAAACTGGGCTGAAGAGCAAAGCAAAACTCTGCAGACCAGTAACTGGCAAAAACAAATAACATACCTATTTGTCCAGCCTTGACTTTGAAAGGGACATCCAAATCATTCTGTTTGCAAAGAAGAACATAAGAAATAAGAAATAAATGAAATAATTTTAGCAAAATAGAGAACGTAAACAAATGCACATGATATTTGTGCAAATTTCCTACCAGAATATAACCAAACACAAAAACTAAGATAAGTAGAGTAATTCAGAAATTGGCACAACATAGCGTAACTTCTGTCCTCAAATAGAAATCCACATTTATATTGGAAGTTTGCATAGGCAAACTTATCAGACAACAGTAAAAATATAACTGAGAGCAGCTTTAAGATCCGAATTGTTTACTGAGCATAAAAAGTAAACTTTCAAATACTGTGATTATTCTCCTATAGGTGGATTTTCAATATATTCAGATATATTTATTGATATTATGCATGTTACTATTTTCATTCTCAATAAATTGCTCACCACCACCGGGTGCCTAAGTAAACAGTCCTCTCACATGCAGTCTCATTCCTTTTTAGAAAGGTCTAAACAAAACCTCAGATTTTGCAAACTAATCTTGTGTTCTTCCTACCACAGACCTCAAATGTGTCATCACCCACCCCATAGTGACCTTATTACGACAGAATTTTACATTAAATTTGAAAGCAATGTTGTTTGATCAGCAACTAAGGTCTTAAATCTAAACAAAGGAAAGTATGAAGGCACAAGGATGAAATTGGCTATGGTGGATTGGGAAGCTAACAAGGTATTGAGGTAGACAGGCAACGCCTAATACCTAAAGAACTAAAACATAGTTTACACACTACTTGTCTTGTTTTTAAGTTTAAACTGTGGTTAACAAAAAAAAATTAAGAACTCTATTAAGTTAAAGGAACAGGCCTGCCACATTGCCCAAAAATACATGCCTGATGGTTAGGACCATTTTAAATTCTACAAAGGTGGACCAAGCAAAGGATTAAGAAAGGGAAAATAGTATAAAAGCTAATTTGCAAGAAACATAAATAATAGACTGCAGAGGTTTCCAGAAGTGAATAAGGTAAGTTAAATAAATGTTGGTGTATGTACAAGCAGATTTACAATGGAAAATAATGAAATGGCAGAAACACTAAAATACTTCATGGTTATCTTCACAGGGGAAAACACTGAACAACCTCCCAGATATAATGGAGAATCTGTGGGCCTAATGAAAACAAGTAACTGCAAGATATTAATCCTAATTTTAAAAAAGTACTGGAGACATTAATGGACAAAGTAGAAAAAAGGTCAGGCCCTGCTAGATTCTATGATAAAGGTGCGCTAACAGGCCAACCTAGAAAATAAAAGAACTAGGTACATTCAACATAGCTTTATACAAGGGAAATCATGTTTAACAACCCAGTTGCAGTCTTTCTGGAGAACATAACAAACAGAATAGACAAGAGGGAATAGTTGAATGTGATATATTTCATTTCCAAAAGTTTTGAACAGGTCCAACACAAAAGCTGAATGAAGAAAATTAGAATGTTAGGATTGGTGGGAATATATTGGTGTGGACTGAAAACTGCTTAACGGACAGAAAACAGTTGGAATAAATGGGTCATTTTCAGGTTGGCAGGCTGTAACTAATCGAATATCACAAGGATCAATGCCCAGTTATTTACAATCTATGTTAATTATTTAGATGTGGATACTGGATGACAAAATTTGGTGGAAGTGGGGTTGAAAGGAGGATAAAGAGAGAGTTCAAGGAGAACTTCTACAGCAAGCAATTAAGACAAATGGTATGTTGGCCCTTATTACAAAAGGATGTGAGTATAGGAATAAAGGCAACTTACTGAGATTTCATAGAGCCTTGGTGAGACCACAGCTAGAGTACTATGTGAAGTTTTGATCTTATTATCAAATGAAGAACAGAACTGCATACAGGGAATTTAGTGAAGGTCACCAAACTAATTCCTAGGGTGGAGGGTCTGTCTTATTAGAAAAGATGAAATGGACTCGACTCTCAAAATTCTTACAGGAATTGCCAGGGTAGATACTGGAAGAATGTTTCCCATGTTTGAGGGGTCTGGAACCAAGAAAAACAGTCTCATAATAAGGGATAGGCTCTTTAGGACTAAGATGAGAAGATTTTTCTTCACTCAATTGGTTGTCAATCCACTATCTCAGGGAGTTGAGGATGCTCCATTATGGAGTAGATTCAAACTGAGGTTGACAGATTTGTTTAGTGAAAGCTAGCCACCATGAGGTGGAATCAACGGCTACCAGACAAAACTATTTCTGAACAAAGAACTCTCTGTAAGGCACAGACAAAAGCAAAGAGGGAGCGAATAGGGCCCTTTAAAGATCAATGAGGTCATCTATGTGTGGAACTACAGGAGAAAACTGCTATTCGAATATTTTTCTTCAGCATTTAGTGTACAGAAAAACAAGGAAGCCACAGATGAGGTGCCCAAAGACAGGAGGGTGGCTAACATTGTGTCTTTATTTAAGAAAGGCTGCACGGTGAAGCCTGGGAACTACAGACCAGTGAGTCTGACGTTGGTGGTGGCTAAGTTGTTGGCGGGGATTCCAAAGACTGGACTTACATATATTTGAAGAGGCAATGACTGATTAGGGATCGTCAGCGTGGCTTTGTGCATGGAAGATCGTTGTCTACTTGGACTTTAGCAAGGCCTTTGACAAGGTTCTGCATGGTAGACTAGTTAGTAAACTTAGATCACATAGGATTCAGGGCAAACTGGCCAATTGTATACAAAATAGACTTGATGGTAGGAGACAGAGACTGATGGAGGAGGATTGTTTTTCGGACTGGAGGCCTGTGTGCAGCCGTGTTCCGCAGGGATCATTGCTGGGTCCACTACTGTTAGCAATTTATACAAACAATATGAGAATTTCAGAGGCAGGGTTAGTAAGTTTGTGAATGACACCAAAATTGGTGGTATAGTCAACAGTGAAGAAGGTTATCTAAGATTATAAAGGGATTTCGATCAATTGGGCCAATGGCCAAGGAATGGCAAATGGAGTTTTTTTTGGATAAATGCAAGGTGTTGTATTTTGGTAAGACAAACAATGGTAGAGCCGTGGGCAGCGTTGTCAAACAGAGACATGAGGGTTCAGGTACATAGTTCATTGAGAGTTGCATCACAGTTAGACAGGGTGGTTAAGGCAGCCCTACCTTCATTGCTCAGACCATTGAATAAAGGAGTTGGGACGGGTGTACGGTGGCTCAGTCGTTAGCACTGCAGACTTACAGCACCAAGTTCCCAGGTTCGATTCCACCCTCAGGCAACTGTCTGTGTGGAGTTTGCACATTCTGTCCGTGTCTGCATGGGTTTCCTCCAGGTGCTCCGGTTTCCTCCCACAGTCAAACGATGTGCAAGTTAAGTGGATTGGCAATGCTAAATTACCCATACTGTCCAGGGGTATATAAGTTAGGTGGATTAAACATGGGAAATGCTGGGTTACAGGGGAAGGGTAGGGGAATGGATCTGGGTGGGATGCTGTTTGGAGGGGCGGTGTGGATTTGTTGGGTTGTTTGGCCTGTTTCCACACTGTAGGGATTCTATGTAACGGTGCAGTTGTGCAAGAGGTTAGTGATGCCATTTTTTGGAATACTGTGTACAGTTCTGGTCGCCTTGCTATAGGAAGGCTACTATTAAATTGGAGAACGTGGAAAAGATTTACAAAGATGTTATCGGGACTGGAGGGTTTGAGTTATGAGGAAAGGGTGAATAGGCTGGACTTTTTCCCCACTGGAGCATAGAGGATTCAGGGGTGACCTTAGAGGTTTATAAAATCAGGAGGGGCACTAATAAAGTGAATAGCAAAGGTCTTTTCCCCAGGGTAGGGGAATTCAAAACTAGAGGGCATAATTGGAAGGTGTGAGGAGAAGGGACCTGAGGGGCAACTTTTTCCACGCACAGAGGTTCGGCTATGAAATGAGCTAATTAGTGCATGTGGTAGATGCAGTTACTATTACAAGATTTAACAGGCATTTGGACAGGTATATGAATAGGAATGGTTTAGAGGGATATGGACCAAATGCAGACAAATGGGGCTAGTTCAGTTCGGGAAACTTGGTCAACATGGACAAGATAAGCCGAAGGGTTTCCGTGCGGTATGATTCTATTACTCTACAAGTTATATTCCCATGAAGTAGAAAGGCAGGGCAAACAAATACACAGCTTCCAGGATGACAAAAGACATTAATATCAAGAAGAAGAAATAGGCTGTTTATGCCTAACGTCAGGTAGACAATACAACAGTGAACCAGATGGTACAGAGGGGAATTTTAGAAAGCATACAAGAGAAGCAAAGACAGAGCATTTAAATTAAAAAAACACAGCTAATATAAAAGGACATTGAAAGTCTTCTCTAAAACTATGAATCAGGAAAAAGAATGGTAAAAGGAGTGGTTTAGATTCGGGCCAAAAGGGGGATTTTCACTACGAGGCTGTGGACACAGCTGAGGTGTTAAATGAATACTTTGCATCTGTCTTGATCATGAAATGCCACCTAGGTCATGGTGAAAGAAGTAATATCTCAGACACTAGTAGGATTTGAAATTGACAAGGTAAAGACTAGTTAATCTACCTTGTGGTGACGAAGCTTTCAGAAACGATAAATTGAGAGAAAAACTAATTCTTACTTGAGCAAATATGAACAACTAAGTTAAGCCAGAATTAACGGCAAGTCATGTTTAACTAGCTTGAATTATTGTTTAGATAAATGAGTTGAAAAGGTGGATGTACATCAGGCTGTTGACATGGTGAATACAGACTTTCAAAAGATATTTGATAAGGTGCCATGAGAGATCAGTGAGAAAAATTAAAGGTTATGGAATAAAAGGGACAGTGGCAACATGGATATGAAATTGACCCAGTGACAGGAAACAATGAGTAGGGAGTGAATCAATGGTTATTGATCTGGAGGAAGGTTGTAGTGGAATTTCCTAACAGTCAGCTTTGGAAGCTAGGTTCTTCCCAATATATATTAATAACTTAGACCTTGGCATACAGGATACAATTTCAAAATGTGTGGGTAGCATGAAACTTGGAAGCAATGCGAATTGTGAAGACAATGGTCTAGAACTTTAAAAGACCACAGGTTGGTCAAATGGGCAGAAGTTGCAGATGGAAGTTCATGCAGACAAATGTGAAATGTTCCATATTGGTAGGATGAATGTAGTAAGACAGATAAAATAACGGGTACAGCTCTAAAGCAAGAACAGGAGCAGGGGGGCCTAGACACATATGTGCTTAAATCATCAAAGGTAGTCGGGCAAATTGAAAGCATCATTAATTAAGCACATTGTATCACGGGCTTGATCAATAGCAATATGACATATTAAAATAAGAACGTATGTATAGAACATTGGCTCAGCCTCAACTGGAACACTGCATCCAGTTCTGGATACTGCACTTTAAGAGACATTGTAAAGATTACAGGGAGAAAAAAAAATCATAAGAATGATCCCAGGGATAAAGCAGGATAAAGAATAAGTACAAGGCTGCCCACTCCAAGGAATCTCACTCCCTTTTGCTCTTAACGTGCAGAATCAGATAATTTTTATTTTGAGATATACTGCTTAAGAGAAGCAAAAATTTAAAGCATAAAAGTTACTCACTAGAGCATTTTCTTTAATTTTCAAGTTATCAAGGACCACATTTCCTAAAACAAAATAACATTCATTAGCACAATTCACAAACACTATAATTACATGATAGAAATCTTAAATCAATTGACTTCCTATAATTATCCAAATACCCATGCTAACTTGTGTGTTTTATTAAACTTAAAAACAATATAAAAGAAAAAGCCAATGTGGCCAAAGTAATGATAAAATTGTCTTCTAAAAGTTGAACATTATTGAAGTATGTAGCAGTTAAGCAAAGGTAGAAAAACAAAAATTCTCAAAGGAAACCAAAAATACTAATTTAACACACAACCTTGCACAAGTGACAGCTCTTAGAGTCAAGATTTAAGTTACGTAATAGTGGCTTGCCTTCTTTCAATTTGAAGTAAATAACAAGTGTAATCACTGATCAGAAATTGAGCTGAACCAGCCCTAAAAATATTGTGGCTACAAGAGCAGTCAAAGGCTGGGAACCCCGCAAAATAACTCACCTTCCAAATCTCCAAAGCCTGTTCACTGTCTAGAAGGCTCAAGTTAGAAGCATGATGGAATACCCTCCACTTTCCTGGACAATTCTACCTCCAGCTACACTTAAGCTCAACACCATGCACAGAAAACCAACCCACCTGACTGATACCCACTTGAAACATACATCACCATCATCGGCGGTCCCTCACAGACGGGGATGACTCTTCCACTCACAAGGGGAGTCCATAGGTGGCTGTACAGACCGATGCAGCTACTGCAGGGTCTGTTACACTTGGGACAGAAGGTGGTCGTGGGTAAGGGTGGTTGGGGCATTGGTGCAGCAATGTGCTCCATTCACTACTTTTGCCTGCTTTCTGCTTTTTCCCCCAACAGCAAGTCTCAAGGTGCTCAACGCCTTCCCGGATGCTCCTCCTCCACTTTGGAGAATCTTGGGCCAGTGATTTTCAAGTGTCTGTGGGAATGCCTCACTTCACCAGTGAGGCCTTTAGGGTCCTACTGAAGTGCTTCCTCTGTCCACCTGGGACTTGCCTGCTGTTTCAGAGCTGGGAGTAGAGCACCTGCTTGGGCAGTCTTGTGGTGGTCATGCACACTGCCCAGCCCATCATAGCTGATCAAGGCTGGTCAGTGCCTCAATGCCAGGGAAGTTGAGCTGGTCAAGAACGCTGGTATTGGTGCATTTGTCTTCCTAGTGGGTTTGCAGGATCTTGCACAGGCAGCGTTGGTCGTACTGTTCCAGCGCATTGAGGTGACTGCAGTGTACAGTCCACATCTCAGAGCCATTTGAGGGCAGGAACCACAACAGCACTGTAAACCATGATCTGATGTTATTTTACTCAAACACACACTCATAACTGACACACAGCAGCAGTAGTATGTACCATCTAAAAATTGGAATGAAGCAACTTGTTGAGGCTCCTTCAATGGCAACTTCCAAACACACTAACATAGCATGTCAAGGATAGCAGATGCATGGGAACACTCCCATCTGCAGGATCTCCTCCAAGTCACATACCATCCTGATGTGAAACTACAATCATTATTTCTCGACAGTCAAATCCAGGATTCCCTTCCTAACATTATCCTGGGTGTTGTTACACCAGATGGACTACATCAAGGTGGCTCAACATGACGTTCAAGGGCAATTAAGGATGGACTATAAGGGACAGTCATCCCTTGGACATTTTTTTTTTTGTTTTTAAAAAATGAGTCAGCAGTTACCATACATTCCTGTATGGGCAACCTACTACAAATATCAGTGCACACTGTTCTAGAGTCTGAGGGTCAGCAACCCAAACAAGGCCAGTCTGTAAAAATACAACTGTTGAAAAAAATACAGCAACTTAATAATGTAGTGAAATCTCATGACTGGACTCTCAAGCAGTTGTAAGTTCATATGATCCCGTCACTCCAATCTGAAACCCCATGATAAAGCAGCTTCATCTGCAGCCTGTTAATATTAGGCAACACATGAACGAACTAAATCGCAATTTAGCTACGTGGAAATCAAAGAGGCAGCAATAAGAAATATCAGGTTCATAAAGCATTGGAAAGGTGCCTTGAAGTTACATTCAAGTGTTGGGTACAATATATGAAACAGAATCTCATCAGGAACTCTGCTCCCTATGCATGTGAACCTAATTCCTGTGCCAGGCTTTTATAATCGTAGTTTGACATCTTAAAATGATAAATCCCTTAGTCTTTGTTTCAAGTGAGAACGCTGTATACCAATCTTTCATGTCCTCAGTTTGTTAAATAAGTCATTCAAAATGCCTTTAATGGATAAAAGACAAAAGGTTCAACATGGAATTGATTTAAGCCACTACTTATGATTTTTAGGGGAAAATTCAGGTTTAAAAAATGTCCTGACAATTTTTGAAGCTCAAGAAACCCTCATACCTAAAGCAAACTGGGTAAACTACATATTTTTAAGTGAGTTGAATGATCTGTTAATCACAGTGCATTGGTTAAATCGATGGACTGATGGACTTTGTCATTTTCAAGAAACTCAATGTCCACCTTAACCCACGATTTTCTGATCCAATATTTTCAAGAAGCAGACCATAGACCCACCCCTTACTGACAAGACCCAAAAATTCCCAGAACCAACCTCACTATTCTCAGAATTTCTCTCCGATTTTAACAAAAGCCAAAATTCACAATGCCCCTAGAACTTGATACCCATTCTGTCAAAAACCTAATTGATCCCAACATCCCCATCTGAATACTTCCTGACCCTGAGTCAGAGGAATATCAGGAACTGGAATATTCCATTCAACCCCTCAAACATTCTCCACAACTGAACAGATTGTGGATGATCTGCACCTTAACACATCAAGGCAACTCCTGGGCATGGGGAACAACACTTTAAGTAGGCTCCAGGGGAGGAGAAAGCATGGCATCAAGGTGGGTCCTGGAAGGAGACAACATGTCCTGGATAAACGTGAGGCATTGCATTTTGGTACAACAGGCTAGAATTTATACAATTAATGGTAGGGCTTTGGGCAGTGTTGTAGAACACAGGGACCTGGGGGTTCAAGTACTTTGAAGTTTGTGTCACATATAGACAAAGTGGTTAAAAAGGTATTTAACATGCTTGCCTCCATTGCTCAGTCCTTTAAGTATAGAAGTTGGGAAGTCATGTTGAGATTGGATAGGATGTTGTTGAGGCTTTTTCTGGAGTATTGTGTCCAGTTTTGGTCTCCCAGTTGTAGGAAGGATATTATTAAGATAGAGAGGGTTTAGAAGAGATTTACCAGGATGCTAAGAGGTATGGAAAGTTTGAGTTATAAAAAAAAAAGGCTGGGACTTTTTTCACTGGAGCATAACAGTTGAGAGGTGACCCTATAGAAGTTTATAAAATAATGAGGGGTATAGCTGGAGCTAATGGTAGGTGTCTTTTCCTAGGATGGGAGATTTCAAGACTCAGTGGCATATTTTTAAGGAGAGAGGAGAGATTAAAAAAACATGCGGGGCAATTTTCTTTTTACACAGAGGATGGCTTGCGTGTGGAATAAACTTCCTACAGAAGTGGTGGATGTGGGCAAATTACAACGTTTAAAACACATTTAGCTAAGAACATGCATAGGAAAGGTTTGGAGTGAAATGGGCCAGGAGTAGATGAGTGGGCTAAGTTTAGTTTGGGATCAATGTTCAGCATGAGCTGGTTGGACTGAAGGGTCTGTTTCTGTGCTGTATGTCAAGGTGGTTCCTGGACAGGAGGAGCAACATGTCAAAGAGTACTTTGTAGATGGGTCTTAACCCAGACCAGCCAGCCAGCCCAGAGATATGGACATTACCACAACAACAAAGTACCCCTCACCTGAAGACAAATGTATGGGAGGGGGTGGGAGAAGAGAATACACAATGGAGGCACTTGAGGGAGACAGCACAAGACAGACAGACAGACATTATGGAGGAGATGCTACAAGAAGAGGTATGAGAGAGGAGTTATACAAAAATTTGATTTACAAAGAGTACATGAAAGGAAGCAGGTATGAGGGGTATATGGGGAGGGTTGACAAGATAGCATATATAAGGAGAATAATTTCAATGAGGGGTATATGGAGGGAAGTAAATGAAGAGTTGTGACCTGGAGGAAAAGTGGTATATGGAGAGGGTATATGAGGTGGAGGATATGAAGACAGAATTTTTGACAAGAGGTATATGGGGGAGATATAGGAGGAACAGTAGTATATGAGGTGGTGTACAAGGGGGAAAAAGATTTTTGACAAGGGGTATATAAGCAAAGTAAATGAAGGGTGGTATACAGGAGAACAGTGGTATATGGGGACAGTATACAATGTAGAGTATATGGGGAAAAGATTTTTGATGAGGGGTATATGGGGGGGGGAAGTAAATGAACAATGATGTTAATGGGAGGGTGGGTGGTGTATATTGGGAGGGAGGGAGTGTATATGGAAGGTATGAGGGCTTACGGAGCATACAGGAGAGTATTTTGAAGTGGGGTGATGTAGTGGAGGTATACAAATATAGGGACAAAGATTTTGAAGGAAGTCATATTATCACTATAATCGTTTTTGTGAACCGGAAATGAAACCAGGTTAAATATTAACAAACCTCCTCCCTCCTCCCTCCTCCCCCCCCCCCACCCACACACCCACACACAAAAAAACCTGCAGAAAAGGGGAGGCACAAACCCCCAGTTCAGCAGCTTCTGAGGTTAAATAATAAACGGAAGAACACAAACCAGCAAAACACCCCATCGGCTCCGGCCCCTTACCTCCCCAAATTCCCAGTTTGAGCTGGGACTTGTCCAGATTCTCCACATAATCCCCCAGGCCCCGGTTGAGGAGCTCAGCCACCAGCGCCTCAAACACCATGGCGCCCCTGGTCTCTATCAGTCAGGTGGTGAACAGCCCAGACTCTCACACTAACTGCCCCGGCTCCAGACACTGACCGACAGCGCCCCCTCTGCACCGGAGGGCTTCAAACAACAAGCACAGGCTCCACTCCCAGTCAGTACAGAGTACGCATCCCTGACACGTGCCCTATATAGACACACACACCCTCTGTCAACTATTGTGGCATGATGGAGGCTGCTCACTCTTCCTGTCTAAACAAACATTCTGCACAGTCATACAGAACAGAAACAGACCTTTCAATCCAACTCGTCCACCCCAACCAGATATCCCAATCTGAACTGGTCCCATTTCGCCCATATTCCTCTAAACCCTTCCTATTCATATACCCATCAAAATACCCTTTAAATGTTGTCATCATACCCCCCTTCATCAGATTGCACAGATTGCACACTATCCTCCTTGTGTACACATATTTCTCATGTATACACTGTATTCTTGGGTTTACACAATTGCTGCAGTGTACATAAAAACCTAAAGAACTGCAGATGCTGTAAATCAGAAACAAAAACTAACACTTCTGAGGAAGGGTCACCCGACCTGAAATATTAACTCTGATTTCTCTCCACAGATGCTGCCAGACCAGCTGAGTTTTTCCAGCACTTTCTGTTTTTGGTGCTGCAGTATACAGACTGCACAATCTCCCTTTGTACACACACACTCCCTGTACATCCAAGTGCTGCAATGCACCGACTGCACACTCTTCCCATATATATGTTATATCTCTATACAAGACTGGCACAGTGTGCTCACTGCTCACTCTTGCTATAAAATATGATAAAACAGAGGAGCAGAAGTAGCTTATTCAGCACATTAAGTCTGGTCCACATTCATTGAGATCATGGCTAATCTGATAATCCTCAACTCCAATCTCCTGTCTTTCCTCCATAACCCTTGATTCATCTTTTGACTACAAATTTTTCAATCGAGTCTTGAATTTATTCTATTCATTTACAGGGTACGGGCGTTGCTGGCTAAACCAAGATTTATTGTCTATCCTTAGCTGCTCTTCAAAAGCTGATGGTGAACTGTTTTCTTGAACCGCTGCAAATCATGTGCTGTAGGTGTACCTACAATGCCATTATGGAGGGAATTCCAGGATTTGACCCAATGACACAGAAGGAATGGCGATACACTTCCAATTCAGGATAGTGTTTGGCTCGGATGGAACTTGCAGGTCGTACTGTTCACGTGTATCTGCTACCTTTGTCCTTCCAGATGGCAGTGGTCATGGGTTTGGAAGCTGCTGTCTAAGGAGCCATGGTGAATTTCTGCAGTGCATCTTGTAGATGGTACGCACTGCTGCTACTGAGCATTGGTGGTAAAGGGAGTTTTGATTTAATTTGATTTATTATTGTTACAAGTACCTAGGTTCAGTGAAAAGTTTTTCTTGCATGCAGTATACCATACAAAGTGCATTAGGATAATAGAACAGAGCAAAGAACACAATGTTATAGCTGTAGAAGAGGTACACATAGAGCAATATTAACATTAAATTTGAAATTTGAGAGGTCCATTCAGAAATCTAATTACAACGGGATAAAAGCTGTTCTTGAATCTGTTCATACGTGTGTTTAAGCTTTTGTATCTTCTGCCTGATGGAAGAGGTTGGAAAAGATTATAACCGGGAAGGGAGGCGTCTTTGATTATGCTTGTTGCTTTCTCGAGATAGCGGGGAGTATAGATGGAGTCAATGGATGGAAGGCTGATTTGTGTGACAGACGGGGCTGTGTTCACAACTCCCTGTAGTTTCTTGCAGTGTTGGGAACAGCAGTTGCCAAACCACACTGTAATATATCCAGAAGGAATGCTTTCTATGGTGCATATATAAAAATTGCTAAGAGTCATTGTGGACATGCTGAATTTCCTTAGCCTCCTAAGGAAGTAGAGACATTGTTGCGCTTTCTTGACTTTTGTGTTGACTTGGGTGGACCAAGACAGATTGTTGGTGATCATCACTCCCAGGACCTTGACGCTTCTGACCATCTCCACCTTAGCACCATTGATGCAGACAGGGATGTGCCCTCCACTCTGTGTCCTGAAGTCAATGACCACCTCTTTCATCTTGCTGATGTTGATGGAGACATTGTTGTCTTTACCCCATGTCGCTAAGCACTCTATCTCTTTCCTGTATTCTGTCTTATTTGAGATCCACCCTACAACAGTGGTGTTGTCAGCAAACTTGTAAATGGAATTGGGGCGGAATTTGGCCACACAGTTGTGTGCGTATAAGGAGTACGGGGCTGAGTACGCAGCCTTGCAGGGCACTGGTGTTGAGGATTATGATGGAGGAGGTGTTGTCGCCTGTTCTTACTGATTGCGGTCTATGGGTCAGAAAGTCAAGGATCCAGTTACAGAGGAGGGAGCCAGGACCTAGGACACGAGATGAGTTGTTTGGAATTATAGAGTTCAAGGCGAAACTGTAGTCAATAAGTAGGAACCTGATGTAGGTATCCTTGTTATCCAGATGTTCCAGGGATGAGTAAGGGGCCAGAGAGATAGTGTCCACAGTGGACCTCTTTCACCAGTAGATGAATTGCAAAGGATCAAGGGAATTTGGTAGGCTGGAGTTGATGTGAGCCATGAGTAACCTCTTGAAGTACTTCATAAGGAAGGTGGTAATCACTGGGTGGTAATCATTGAGGCATGCTGCATGATTTTTCTTTGGCACTGGGAGCAAGTGGCAGCTTCAGGTCATAGTAAGGAGAGGTTAAAGGTGTCTGTGAATGCTCCCACCAACTGGTCCATGCAGGATCTGAGTGCACAGCTGGGGACTCCATCCGGGCCAGTTGCTTTCAGTGGGTTCACCCTCGAGAAGGCCGATCTAATGTCTGCGACGGTGACCGTGGGTACAGGTACATCTGAGACACTTGGGTTAAGTGATATCATTTCATTGACCGTCTCTTGAAAGCAAGCATAGAATGCATTATGTTCGTTGGGTAGGAATGTCCTATTGCCCACAATTCTGTTCAAATTCCCTTTGTAGCTCATTATGTCATTTAGGCCTTGCCACAAACAACAGGTGTCTGTGCGGTTGGTCTGGGTCTCAAGCTTAGTTTTGTATTGCCTCTTGGCGTCTCTGATGGCCTTGCAAAGATCATACTGGATTTCCTGTATAAGTTAGGGTTGCCCGACCTGTACACCTCAGACCTGGACTTCAGTGAGGAGTGGATCTCCCAGTTCATCCTTGGTTTCTGGTTGGGGAACATTTGAATTAACTTCTTCTACACACAGTCTTCTACGCACATATTAATGAAGTCTGTGAGGGTAGTGGCATACCCATTTAAGTTGACTGCGAGTTCTTGACTATGGCCCAGCCCATTGACTGTAAGCTGTCCTTCTGTAGAAGCCCTTCTGTTGTCTCAAACCAACACTGCGTTATGTTCCATACTTCACACTTCAATTTCTGCTTGTAAACTGGGAAGAGGAGAATAACGTTGTATCTGATTTTCCAAAATGCAGTTGGGGGATGGAGCAGTAGGCATCGTTGATGGTTGTACAGCTATGGTCAAGGATGTTTAGATCGCTGGTGGGACAGGAGACGTGTTTATGGTATTTTGGTAGCACGTTCTTGGGATTGGCCTGGTTGAAGTCACCAGCTATGAAGAGCAAGGCCTCGGGGTATTCTGTTTGTAGCATCATATACTTTGACAAGTGCACTCTTCACTCCTGCACAGAGTGGGGATGTAGACTGCTGTCAGGGTAATGGAGGCAAACTCGCATGGTAGTAGTAGGAAAGGCACTTTATGAAAGGCATTCTAGGTCCGGGGAGCAGTAACTCATCAGGTTGCCACATCTGAGCACCAGGAAGTGTTGATTAGGAGGCAGACCCCACCACCCCTTGCTTTGTCTGACAATGCTGGGCCATCCATTTGGTGAACTGAGAAATCCTCTGGTTGTAAGGCACAGTCAGGAGTGAGCCATATCTCTGTAAAACAGAGCACACAGCAATGTCTCAATTCCCTTTGGAAGGTAAGTCTAGCTTTAAGGTCATCCAGCTTGTTTTCAAAGGTTTGGACATTTGCCAGGAATATGCTGGGGATGGAGGACTTCAAGCCCCATTTATTTCAGTCTCAGCGAAGTCCAGCACATCTCCCACATTTCCTGGGTAGGTGTGTACTCCTAGTCAATCCCAGGCTTTGCTGAGAGAAGTCTGCTGTTTCAAGAGGTAAGTGCATGCTCCTGCTGGGGTTCTGGACACCAATCGGGTCTTAAGCATTCTGGGGGTGGGGAGGGGGGTCTTGTAGCCAGTTGGATCAGGCCTCCTGGATACTGGGTGACCATGTTCCATGTTATATTTGTGGATATGTACCACTGAAGCGAGTTGCTTTGTCCTGGATGGTGTCAAGCTTCTTGAGTGTTGTTGAAGGTGCACTTATCCAGGAAAGTGACAGCGTTCCATCACATTCCTGATTTATGTCTTGTAGTCAGCAGATAGGTTTTAGTGAGTCAGGAGTTGATTTGGTCTCTGCATGATTCCTAATCTCGGGCCTGTCCTTGGAGCCACTGCTTTTATGTGGTGAATCCAGTTCAGTTTCTGGTCAGTGGTAACACTCAAGATATTGCTCGTGGGAGATTCAGTGATGGTAATGCCACTGAAAGTTAAGGGGCGATGTTGGTTTCTCTCTGCAACAACAACAAAAACAGAAGTTGCTGGAAAAGCTCAGCAGGTCTGGCAGCATCTGTGAAAAAAAAGTCAGAATTAACGTTTTGGATCCGGTGCCACTTCACTGGTCACCGGACCTGAAACATTAACTCTGATTTTTTTTTCACAGACACTGCCAGACCTGCTGAGATTTTCCAGCAACTTCTGTTTTTGTTCCTGATTTACAGCATCCGCAGTACTTTCATTTTTTTTTGGTTTCTCTCTTGTTGGAGGTGACCATTGCCTGGCACTGTGCAACGTGTATGTGACTTGTCAGTTGTCAGCTCAAACCTGGATATTGTCCAGGTCTTGCTGTACTGGAACATGTATAGTTTCAATATCTGAGGAGTTACAAATAGAGCTAAACATTGTACAATAATCAAAGGACATTTCTACTTATGACTTTATGATGGAGGGATAATCATTGGCAAATTAACTGAAGG